AAGTATGCTTTTTGGAACAAAAGAACCATTTCTTGTTTGGTAAAAGCACGTTCATCCATGCTTCCGGTGATGGTTTCTAGTGGTTTGGTGGATAAGACCAGTGACAATGGTTTAACTCCAATAGCGGTAAATAGAGGTAGGGCCGAGAGTTGTATCGGAGGGTGGTCACACATGACCACCTGTTCGCACAAAAGCAAAAGTATTATTCCGCCAAAAGTACAAAATATAAAAAGTTGACTTTGTGCTTTTGGTGGTTTTGTCGTGCCACTTGGTCACTTGGTCACTCTCCTTAAAACCGCATTTGCCACGTACGATGCAGCCGGGTGATCGCAAATCAGTCGTCAAGATAAAACAGCCCACAGACCACTGGTAGGTGTGCACTTGCTTACCAGACCTCCGCAAACCACAAAAAAGATGATGCTTAGATTACAGAGAAGACAGAGAAGAAGACTTGTCGATAATTGATCTGTGTGAAACTGGGTCAACCAACATCCTTTTTATAGACTGGTCTCAAACCTAAATGGACAGAGAGTTGTCCTTTCAAACAAGAGCCTCTTCAGAACAGTACACCTGTTCAAAGAGGCACAAGAAGGAAGAAGAGACATGAAGAAGAGAAAACATTTTTGTTTGAAAAAATAAATTCAAAATTGAAATAGACACATGTTCAAGTAGACACAAAAAAACATTTAATTCGAAATTCAAATCCGGTAAAAAGTAAAAGTGATTCGGTGCATCGCATGTGAAAGGCACCCCCAACCCTCCTCACATGCGCATGGAATATCAACAGTGCTCTCCTCCTATGGATCCCTACCCATAGGGAGAACAAAACTACAAATATACTCTACTTTCCCTCATTTCCCAAACAATGTGGGAGAAGGAATCTTCCCATGCACTCAAGAGTGAGAAGAGAAAAAATAAAACATAAGAGAGGGAGGAGAGAGATTTTTGAAAATTTGAATCTCCCTCCAACACAAAGTATACAATAGAAACAATATATTGTATTTTTCATACTTTTATATTTTCTTTATAAAAGTCTATCCAAACAGGGCCAAAGTTGCCAACAAGTAGAACGTATCGTATCTATTTTGGGTCCAAAACACTTGTACTGTTATATAAAACGCAACCAAAATTTGAAAAAAAAAATGTTGAATTAATAAAACGTAAAAAGTGCATGGTATAGATTACCAATACACAACACCACTTTGGAAAGTTAATTGTTGATCGGACCAACCTAGTGGTTGTTGACGCAAGTTTCATGGGGTCAAAACCTAAAATGGATAGGAAGGGGAGGAAAGTAAACATGGATGGGCCATTAGGAGATAATCATGGTTTTCAAAATCAGATTGGTCCGGATGGTCAGACCGAAAAACCCAAAAATCAATAAGGTAATCAGTTCCGTTTCACCCTAAAATCAATTTTTTTTTTTACGATAAGGGAGCCCCTGGCTCCCCTGGTCCCCTTGGCTCCGCTACTAGTAAGTTCTAATGCAGCTGCATCATGATTCGTGAGTCAAATTTACGTCCCTCAGGCCTCGGCGTTGTAATAGGGTTCTTTTTTTTTTTTTTTTCTTTTCTTTTCAAGTTTTTGAAGCCAGTTGTAATAGTTAGAGACTTCCATTGTCTCGATTGAAATAAACAAAAAATATGAACGTTTATTTATTATCTCACCCACTAAATACGTCTACTTTGAAGACCCATAGAAAACGTTTTCAGTAGATTTGATACACTGGTTTTATGGTGTTGACATTAGAATAAGGGGATAAAGAGAGAATTGAACGACGTAACGAGGCACCCTCTGGAAGCACATAGGGTGGGTTCAAAGGTTCAGGCACGAGAAAATTATCATAGAAGGTGATCCCAAGCTCGTTATCAATGGGTTAGCTAGACTGCTAGAGCTGTTGAATACTCCCTTGCAAACTGTGTCCAGTGTAAATGCAGGGGATTACTAAGTGTAAATTTTTAATTTTTTTGGACTTAAATTATGGTTTGTTCCTTTTTAAGGTTTGACTTTATTTCGTTTGCATTTGTCTTTTAAGTAGAAAAAGAGTAAATGACGTGATCCCCACCACTTAAAGGAACGCAGGAGGAAGGTTGTTCACTTGAAAAAAGTGGAGTAAAAAGAAAAATCATGTAGTCCTCACTTTACATGAGAGAGAATTAAGAGAGATGAAAGGTAGCTTGTCAGGATGCAAAATTTGCGTCGTCAATGATGCAAATGAGACAAAATGCAAACGCAGTTGCAAACAAACAAGAATAAATTTGAACTGGGTATTCCGGTACTCCGGTTCATTAAGAATGCATGAAGTCATGAACGAATTGACTTGAATAAAAAGAATAAAAAAAAATAACGATAAACATAGGATTTACTTAACTCAGTGAAATTATCACAATGGAGGGCCCCTGTGTCACGGGGGTAGTTCTACAGCGGAAGAAACCTGTGCGGCGTCCTGGCCAAGGCAAGCCAGGATTAAGAATGCATGAAGTCATGAACGAA